CAACACATCAATTACAGATACTGCCCTCTAGCCATGACAAAGACAACACATCGATCATCGATACTGCCCTCTAGCCATGACAAAGACAACAAATCGATCATCGATACTGCCATCCAGCCATGACAAAGACAACACATCGATCATCGATACTGCCCTCTAGCCATGACAAATAGAAGGACTGTGCTCTGTGCTATGTTTATTTTTTGCCGGATTTCTATCCAACCATAGACCTTAAAAAACAGGGACATGCAACTGCGGTATTTTCTTAGATGTAATGTTGGTTATAATCCGTGAATTGGACTTCAGTTTTAATCTGTTTGTTCTACTTCCTGATGCCACACGATACCACAAAAACACGCAAAATCTCGTGTTTTTAGAAACTTGCCATCACGCAAATATGCAAAACCTGGCTTTGATCTACTCTCTAGTACGTCCATGGTCCACCATACTCGTATGTCTCTTGTGGTTAACGGGTTTATGGAGTAAATAGTGTTATCACAGTCAATCTCTATTGGAGAGATAAAATTATCCACAAAACAAGGAAGATGACATTATCCTCGAGTGACCCGAACAACAAAAGGATTAATATTGTCGCATACGACTTGTTTACCACTTCCGTGTGACTGAGAATGTTCTAGAACCGTACTGTGTCTGGGTGGAATTTTTAGAAGTTGGTTGAATAGGTAATAGGACACTGTAGAAGGCAATAGAAGGTAATGGAACATTCTAGAAATTTGTAGTAAGTTCCAGACTCATTATGTATGCTGATGTAATGGTCTATTTATAGACAGTGTGGGTATATATAGGGGAGTTGTTCAGCACTGAGATCAGATCGGAGATCTCGTTGAATTGTATTGGAGTTTAAGCATCTAGTTATTGGAGTAGTGGAGTTTTACCGCGTTATTGTACTTGATGTTTGCAGAGTATAATAATACCAGTACCAGTTGAAACCTCATCTGTTGGCTCCGTATTCGTATTTTATCATCGCCGCCAGGGAAGTCTTTGTGTTACTGTTGCCATTTTGGTATTTGAACCATCACACCTGTACTAAACCAATTACGGTAATATTACGTTGCGTGTGACAAATATATCCGAGTTGTCCGAAGATCAAAGGATATTATCTCTCAGTGGTTCAAATAATACCGGTAATAATACGTAGTTATGCAGTGACTTTTAAAATACTGATAATTTTTGGTCTAGTTATGCTGTTTTGATTATTTTCACTTTTTCTGCCGGTGAAGTTAATTGTTCATGGTCATGTTGCTAGAAGTACTGTTAAAAACGAAAACTACCTTACTATCATGGCAGCGAGTCCCGAAGAGGAGGGGCAACTTGGGTGAAATTCGGTTACCTAACCTTGAAAATAGTTTTTATACCTAAGCGCGGTTTTTGAATGTTAAATAAATAAAATATCTTTTACACATACATGTAATAGTGTCAAAACATACCCTAAAATAAAGGCTACATAAACATGTGAACTAGTATTCGATTTGTTGGACAAAAAACGAACAGAACGTGCAGCGAGATGATTGACAGAAAAACGTGTCACAGTTTTATTTTTGCTATTGAGAATCCTTTTTGATTATTTTCAACATATTTTTGTTGTTGCATACCAAACTTTCAGTCGAGTTCCCCTTCCCAGGAGCAACTGAGATTGCAATGAAGAGGTATTGTGCATGGGGCAACAATATCCCTTGGTTTTATGGTTAAGTTTGGAAGCAAGTTTTCCTTTCAGTCAAAAATCAAAATCTTAAAAAACACTACAAACAGAAGCCATGACGCCCAGGGCTATGCATTATTTACACCCCTACAAATGCTAAATACGTAATTATGGGTAATTGATATGCAGCCAGTTTTGGTATTAATAGGTAACCAATAGTCACAACCAGTTGTGCAATTAACGATTATTAATATGCACAGTCAGTTAATATGTAATCAATATGCAGTGAGTTGTGCTTTTTAAGAGGAACCGAGGGTGTAATTAGTATGCTAATCCGGCCCACGCCAGTAACATCATGGCGGGGTGTTCTGGGAAATGTGCCAGTCACGATGTTTGCATAATATCAAAAGCAATCAGACTTGCAGGTTTCAACAAGAAAATATCAGTTTTTACCAAAAATTACAAAAATTGTCATCAAAATTAGAGTATTGCAGATATCATTATGAAATGAACAAATCTAAGACAGGTCTACCCAAGGTACATACAATCCAAATGTCAAGTCGACGGCGGAGCTAAAAAATAGGCCGTTGGCGTACCTTGAAAATGAAATGAAAAAAAAAAACATTTTTATAAAACGATAGTTTGATTTCAAAAAAAAAATCTCAACAACGATTCAAAAACAACAACAAACAAACAAGAAAACAAAATACAGCATGTTTTGTCGATCTAAGAAAGGAATTTGGCAGTGGTTGCCATAATGACCTTTATTCAAAACATAAAAAATACATTATCACAGGAAAAAATGTTTACAGCAATGTTAAATATAAAGATAAACCAGACGCGGGATTAACTACTATTTTTTTCTATCGATATCTAGTGTCAAACAAAGTTGCAAACCTAGCAGATAGTTTTGATGTACACAGTTGTGATTCACCTCGATTATTTGATTCAAATTAGATATCGCTTTATTCTGGCGAAATGGTCGTTTTATCAAAATCAAAAATAAGTTTATGACAGCAGGTGTAATTTTTTTCGCGTCTTCTCTGTACAATTTTTTTAATGTGCCAATATCTCTCTCTGCAATTTTTTTTAAACAAATCTTCCAGTTTTTAAATGATCGACCACTAATCTACTGCTTAATATATCAATTTACAAGAACAGTGATTTACCGTAATTGTTTCTGCAGTTCGACCAGTTGTGTGCTGATGGTGTACACGGACCGAGGATGATATATCAGTACCAACATTAGTTTTATCTTAATGTAGCCTCTGAAGTAATTCACAATATCTATTTGACCAGTGATCACCAAGGGGATAGCTGACACATCAAATACACCACATTGTAGATTCTGCGATGTATTTCTGGTAAAGACGCAGTGTGTTTTCATTTTTGCTTGGATTTAAACCTTATTCATGAGCAAAGTATCTCTTCGAAGAGATGTTCAACACCACATTGCATTTTTCCCGAGTGGTATGCCTACAAGCTACCTCACATGAAAACATTGATATGATGAATCGCCTCGCACATAAATGTTCATATCTGGATTTATATAAATACTAAACCATACAGGAATTAAATATACAAAAAAAAATGCCTTCCAGTGTCTGTAAAAATACTATTTTATCTTTTAAGTTAAAAGTGGAGAAATCAATAGCAGAATTCGCCAAGTGTTGGATTGTTCACCCATCATCACGTGAGCTGGGATTAGACCGTCGTTAGACAGGTTAGTTTTACCCTACTGGCGGCCATTTTTTATTTATGCAAATAAAATGGATGTTCCAATAATCACACAATTGATTCAAGAGGCATCCCAATAAATCACCTAAATGTTAATTAGAGATGGGGATATACTGTTAATTAGAGATGGGGATATACTGTTAATTAGAGATGGGGATATACTGTTAATTAGAGATGGAGATATACTGTTCTATACTATTATGGTGGCCATTTTGGAATAACGCAAATTAGAAAAAGTACCCAAGATTTAGGAAAGGTATTTTCTTAGATATCAAAACATTTGTTATTGACTCTAAACCAGATTCAGATTAAACATTCAATTTGAATGCCAGGCTAGGAGTGATATTAATGGGTAATTAATATGCAAAATCAGTTGTGATATTACCATTACAACATGATCTTGCCAAAGAAAACCACTTGAATTTTCTGAAAAGGTCATTTTCGGTAGTCGAAAAATAATTTCACAATTGGTTGTGATTTTACCATGCAAACTCTACTCAGTGTAATAGTCACATACAGCAGAGGTCAATGTGCATTGACCTAACACATTTATCACATGGCAATCACATGACTTGACTTGTTGACTAATTAGAATCCTGGATTAGCTGTGGATTATAAGTCATAATTCACTACTGAGAGACAAATTACACAAAAAAATTCAACTTTTTAGCAACAAAGTTTATTAAGGTGAGATAGTGATAAATATCATACATTCAGAAATCGAATGAAATTGTTTTTTTTATCCAGATATTGAACAAAACTCACTGTGGCATTACAACGAGCAAAACTGAATTAGTCAACAGAAACACTTTCGATTTTACTCGTAGTTGGAGAATTTGACTTTTTTTGGTTTAGAAAACAAGAAATCACCTAGTAGAGAACGTTTTCACCAGTTCATCTTAACGGAATGTTATCCAGCATCCCAAACATTATGTTTTTTTGAGAACATTACGGAGCATTACCTCCAACTTTGAAGCAACAAAATAAGTTTTTAAATTTCTTTCCCCGTTTTTGTTACGGTGGAGAGTCACTTCATAGCGTCGTTAGCTAATGCTATGTAACATTTGCGACTATCAATATCACTTGAAAACATTTAATTGCCTGAATGAAAACACA